TTTCCATCAGAAGTGTTTAAACGAAGTAAAATTTACGATTAAAGTTCTTTATTGTTGATGTTGCCAACTGATACAAGACTTTCCACATGATTAAAATTACCATGGACAAGGCCGGGGCCACATTTAATTCTAAACCTCTTAAACTCATTACATTAGTAGTGAGATTGAGCAGATACAACCTTTTCTTTTCATCATCATCCCCATTCAAATAAAAAGGACGGAAGACAATCTCATTCTTCCAAATAGTCACTGGGTTTAACGCGAGTGGACATAACTGGTCACAAAGGGTGCTAGCAGCATACTTTTTTAGTCCAAATCCATCTTCCCCTTGATGCACAAATGAATCATATAAGATTCAGTAACAACAACCAAAGCAAGTTTGTTCTCATGCACAGTAAGCCTTGTATTACTTCGTTTATATTCATATTTTAAAAAAGGTAATGGCGTCGAGATACACACCTGCTTTGTTAGGTCAATCGAAACCGCCGTATTAGAATCATCACCCGGCCTCTGCTTTCCACCAAACATAAACATAACACCATTAACAATGACTTTCCCCCTTTTCTAATATTTATGCCCTCAAAGTTTTCTGATTCTACTTCCTTCCAAGACCCAGAGTTTAATGAATAAACTTCCACGGGATTAACGGCACAACGAAATTGAGTTACATAAGTTGTCACTATCTTGAAATCATCATCAGTGGGATCGAAACCAAATCCGACATCGTAATAACCATTAGAACCCTTCATAGTTCTGGGCACCTCCCTAAACTGTCTGGTCAGGGGATTCCATAATAAAAGTAAGGGGAAACCGTACCATTTTTCTTTGGGCTGAAAGGAGAAGGGACCATGCAACCATCCTCGTTGCCCACCTCAACACAGACCAAGCCATTACTGGAACCCACGATCCTAAAATTAATGGAGGGATCGATCAAAGGTGGCTTTTGAATTTCAAGCACCTGCATGGTGGGATGATCCACCAACACAATGCGCAAACTAACCCTGCGGTAACATCTGAGGAGAAGCAAAAAGGTTGGATGACTGGTGTGGTGGAGGTGTTCTCGGGTAAAAGACAAAGACTTGATGAGATTTTTCCAATCTCTGCATACGCATTGAAATCGAATTAGGGATTTCATCGGAAGTCTTTTGAGAATGTTACATATGACATCGCAGGGAATAAAGAGTATGTTGTTGTGGTCGTCCATCACTTTCATGGTGTTCCCCACATTGGACAAGGAGAGTTCTGAAAGTTCTGATGGTGGGACTGAGGTTAAAGTAGGTAATATATGGACTGGACATTAACGGGAAGTGTTTCGGCAAAACAATAAAATTTAAAATGAAACCATTCTTTGCTCGTGTCAAAGTCGTAAGTTGTAACCACGGATTCTCAGCCGATCGGTTGATTTTCATCCAAACTTCTGCTATAGAAAAGCAATAATAGATAATTATTAGTATATGCGTTGAAAAAGATCCTGGCGGAATTTCAGTGTCGTATCTACCCTCACACGCCTTTCTTTTTCATTTATTTCTTACTTAATATACGATTTTTTTATTTAGAATTTGCATTCACATAAAGTTTTGAATTATTTTTAATAATATTATTATAAATGAAAATAATATTTAAATATTAATGCCATTCATTGAATTATATTTAATAATCATCATTCTTATTCATATTTCATGATTGTATTTGTGGACTCAAGAAAACTAAATTGAAAAAAAAGAAAGTATGATATCATGATCCTAAATAATGGGAGATTTATTTGTCAACTAGGTAAGTTGTACGATTTTTAAGCTTCTTTAAATTGAAAATTTAAATACATAGAGAATGGGAAAGATACGATAATAACCCGTGTTGGAGATCGGGTGAATGTGAAATGACAAATAACCGCTTCAAACGAAATCAATGGAGCCACACATGAGTCACTAATCTGGCAGCAATCTGTTTGATGGAAACCTTTTTCCACTAATCTAGCCTTATTACTTGTTTCATCTGGATTTTCTTTCGCTCTAAAAACCCATTTACACCCAACAATATATTTAGCTTCAGGTGAATGAACGTGCATGGGACCAATGTTTTATACTCATTAAAGCTTCAAATTCCTTTGCCAGGACTTTGAGTCTGTTATTAGGAGTTGTAAGGGCTTGAACATAAGCAGCAATTAGGGAAATAACTGTAAGATCTTCAGGATATGTGAGTTAGAACCCAACACTCAAGTTATAGCTGGCCTCTACAAGCACCAAAGGTTCAGCCCTTGTCATCTCAATCATGCGAAAGAGGCCATGAGCTGCATGTTTGGCCATTTTTCTATCATGAGGTCTCTACTTGTGTCCTAAAATGGGCCACAAACAACAAACATGAGACTTAACCCAAACTTTTTATCATATAAGAGAAAAACGCTAATTTAAACAGGACTATGAAATCAAAAGAGAACAAAGCTAAGAGAGACCTTCCTATTTGATGACTCTGCTGCCGATGAATGCCAAACAATTGATACATTATTAGCTCTTAAGATTGTTGATACATTATTAGCTCCACAACACCTAAATTGTCCAAATTCAATGAGTCTTCTAACGTCATCTGTAATGCCCAATCTTGTAGACAACAACACCTGCAGATAAGTGGTAAATCCAAGTCTTGTCCTATGGATAATGTCCTTAAAAGTTACTCCTCTGGTCCTTAATATAAATAAGATCTATTTAACTAATTTGATTAGATTAAGAAAGTTAGGTAAGTTAGTTAATTATAAGAAATGTGACATGTTTTTCCTAGAACACCATAATCATATTTCTTAATACCCTTCTCTCCCTTTTCTACTTGATTATGGTTGAAGATAATTTAGAGAAAATTGATAAATATGATAAATAGGTCTTATATTTAGAACCAAAACCAACTTAACAATTGGGTCCTATATTAAGAACCGGAGGAGTATTTGGCAACTAGGGACAAAGCAAGAGAGCCGCTAGGATTAAAGGGATCCTTCTTACAAAAACAGGATGAGCAAAATAATGAAAGATAAAAAAATGCATTTAGTAGCAATTAACTCATTGATTAATAGTCATGGATACAATTTAATGAGTAGTTTAAAGTTGTCGGTTGCGAGCATTGATAAGGCATGATGGTGATTGAAATGACATATTAATTAGATAGATATTTTGTATATAAATGCCTAATACTGTGTTTGACTAATGCTCAAGGGATAAGGAAAATTTGTTGGATTTATCTCCAGTGACCCGCTGTGCATACAAATTCACTTCTCATTTTAGCCCATTTAGTAGTCCAAAATTGGTTATTACTTGGACCTCTAGTCTCTACAATCCCAAGTAATGTGAGACTTCTTTTGACACACCCACACACAACATTCACAACAAAGATGAGATGGTGGAAGGGGATCCCAATGAGGGGAGGAAGGAAGAAAGTCAACCATAAGAGTCATATAAAATATTGGTTTGCAGAGGTAAAGAACAAGAATGATCAGAACTGGTTTGTATTGAAGGTTAGGATTCTGGTGCAGGAGAATCATTGAGATTGGAGACTGAAAATGACACTGGTTACATAAGAGAAGGAGCAATATCTCATTGCAATATTGGATGAGGTGGGGAACTTATTTGAGACAGTGGTTCAGCCACAGATTGTGTAGGATTAGAAGAAACTGATGATGCTAAAGTTGGAACGTTATCAAGTGGTCTTCTGATCAAATGGCATGGAAACTCTTTATAAGTGAAAGATTGTGGGTTCCATACAACTTGCAACCTTAAGCATCTGTGCAAGGTTGCAAGTAGTTTCAGTTGTTTTAGTTTTTGATTGGATTAATATTTACATTTTTTTTTTCATATGTTAGTATCTGAATTAAAATATTTTATAAATTTAAAGTGGATTCAGATACAATTTTTTACAATAAATTGAATTTGTATGATATCGTGATATTTTTGCACTTGTAAATTTTTTATTTTTTTAAAAAATTTTATTCCTTTCACTTTTAGACTTGGAGGAATTTGCATGATATTAATTGTTATGTGCATGTCAGTAATATTAAAATGAATCGATTTGATTCTTATCGATGATTAATTGTACAATTTAGTACATGTGTTGAATAGATTAAAAAGTGAAATATTTTTATGAAAATATTACTCCTATTTAAGATGTTTATTTAAAAAGAATGCTTGTTTAACATCTTATCATAGAATAACAGAGAACTCGAATTCAAAATAAATGACAATTTGACAATAAAATCTTGTTAATATTGGAAATTTTATGAAAAGTTTAAACTTTAAATTACTTTCATAATAATTGCATATTGTATTTAATCGAATTTAAAATTAATCTGTAATTGTTTTAATGTTTATCGATTTATTGACTATTAATATTGGCCAAAAAGTAAGCTTATTAAATTTATTGACATAGCTACTTTTTCAGTAAAAAAATATAAAGGCACTCACAAAATTATTACTCCTCTAGTCAATAATGTAAGACTCTTTTTATAATGTAATTACACTATGAAAGGGGTTTTATTATTTAGGATCTAAGGAGTATTATAGTATTAAATAATGAAAAAAAAAACTAAATGAACAAAAAGTTGTAAAATACTTTTTCATCATAATTGTGAATTTTTTGTCCAATCTGAATTGTTTACTATGAACACTTTTTATTTAATAATAATAATAATAATATTTATTACTTTTTATTTATTAATCCCTAATTTTCCGCCTCCAATGAAGTGCGGAGTCTTCCCATTCTCATCCTCGAGCACAATGGAGCAGATGGAAATGGATAGCAGCGCACCATTTCTTCCACAAGAAATAGTTAGAGACATTCTCATAAGGCTTCCGGTAAAGTCCTTGCTCCGATTTCAATGTGTATGCGAAGATTGGAAAATTCTCTTCAGATCCCCTTCTTTCATCGCAGACCACTTGCATCACTCTAGTCATCGAAACCCTTTTCTTCTTTTGAAATGTTTTATCGCGTGTGATTTCTATCACTATTGTTTGCTCGATGGCGAGATGGAAGTCCACAAACTTCATAAGATCCCTCTTGAGAATTCTAGGTTGACTGTCAGGAACCTCTATTCCAATCATGGTTTGCTCTGTCTTGAAATCGTTAATAAGTGTCATTCCCTTTTCTTGTATAATCCGGCGACTAGAGAAGTCAAACAAGTGTCCCGACGCCTTGAAAGATTTACGGGTACAGTGTTCGATGTAGGATTTGGGTTCAATCCAATTCTTAATGACCACAACATAGTGAGGCTCTTTGTTTCTGGGTATGATGAAATGGTTAATAAGGTGGAGGTGAATTCATTAAATATGGGATCATGGAAGGAGGTAGAGGTTGGGAACTTACGGGTTGTGAAACTTAAACATGGTGAAAGTTTTAGTGCTAATGGAGCTATCTTTTGGTTTGGGTATACAGTAAAGCATAAAGTATATAATGGGAAGAAGTGTGAAATTGCTGGAAGAGTCTGGATAGTTTCATTTGACGTGGCAAAGGAAGCATCCACTTTGATACCAATGCCTGCTGAAATACGCTATAAAGATGGTGTTAGTTCTGCTGTGTATGAGTACAAGCTTGCCATTCTTTATCCCACTGCTATTGAAAACTCTGAAACTTCATCAATTGATTTGTGGGTGATGGAGGAAGGTACAGGTGCATCAGGGGAGAAATGGACTTGGACTAAGAAATATACTACCAGTCCTTTTCCGCGCCGATATCCATGGAAGTTATGTCCGCAAACTATTGGAGGAATAAAATGATCTGCAAAGTTCAATTGATGCCTGCAGCTGAAGGTAAGGTGAAGAATGATGAAACAAAAATTGTCATGTTCAATCTCGCTAGTAATGAATTCAAGAGCTATGCTATAGGCTTATGCGGCCATCATCAGTTCATATATAATAGTGATGATTGTGGATTAAGAGGTCTGCATAATACATTGATATTAATCATCCTGATATGGCTCACATAATCAGATGTTATGAACAATAAACATTCCAGCTCTAATATTATTTAGATGTCTAAAAAAATTTCATAAGTTGTTTTGTCAACTCTTGTAATCCTGTTATTTAAGCACTAGGTTGTCCATATTTTTATATATACTTGAAACTTGAAATTATGGTGGTAAAAAAAGCCTTTGCAACTTCTTTTAAGTAGTTTGAGTTGGTCTGGCCTTTGATTAGATTAGTATTTAAAGTGTTTTTTTCCCCCTCCATATGTCTTCTTTAGAACACGAAATTATTAATATCACAATTAAATTTAATATATTTTATAATTAATTTTATTAATAAATCATTATTGTTAATCACAATTAATTATTATTTATTTCTATTAGACTATATTCTAATTAGAATATAAATATAATAAAAATTAGAATATAATTATACTATTCTAAAATTGATTCTAAAAAAATAGTAATTTAAGTTAATACTATTTTAATTAATATTATTTATATTAATAAATTAAATAAATTAGCTTGTATTAACTTGAATTAATATTCTTTCTTGGGACTCTTGACTTGTTTGTTCGATCAATATAGTCATCTAATTATGAATTAATTAATATTGATGTTTTATTACACTCTTTTTCACGACATGACTCATAGACATTACTTAGTTTCTTAAAAAAAAAAAAAAGAATCGTATGATATTAATTATTAAGTATTTGTTAGCAATATGAATCGATTAAATTGATATGAAATTATCAATGATTAATTGCACAATTTAGTACCTATTTAAATAAATTAAAAATTAAAATACCTTTATGCCAAATATTACTCCTATTCAAGATATTTTAAAAAAAATGTTTAACATCTTATCAGTGAATAACAGAAATTGAATTAAAAATAAATGACATTTGTTATTAAAATCTTTTTAACATTGAAAATTTGACGAAAATTTTAGATTTTAAAGTAATTTCATAATAATTGCATATTGTATTTAATCAAATTTAGAATTCATCTGTAATTGTTTTAACGTTTATCAATTTATTGATTATTAATATTGGCCAAAAAGTAAATTTAATAAATTTATTAATACAACTACTTTTTCAATGAAAAGAATAGGATAAAATAAGCAAAACTTCCCTATACTTTTAGTTAGTTTTCAGATCACTTCCTTAACCTTTTAGAGTTTGAACTAAAGATCCTAATATTTTATATTTTGGTTATCAATCTTCATGCTATTAAAATTATTGTCAAAATTAACAATTGTTGTCTATTTTCTATTATATATGATATCATTTTGAAAAATAATATTTATCATTTGACATACAATTTTAAATATTATTATACTTAAAATAAAATAGTTAAAAGGCATTTACAATATTTATTTGACCATATCTTTTTTAAATTAAAAATTATAAAATACTTAAAAATTAAATTCTGAATGCCAAATATTATTTTCTAAATTATATAAAATATAATAAAAATATAAAAACTATGAGCTGTCAAAACTCTTTAACTTTAATGGTATTTTTAATGGTAGGAGTGTTGATAATCAAAACATAAAAAATTAAGGTTCTTAATTTACCCTGTTAATGATTAGGGAGGTGATGTGCAATAGCGATAAAGTTTAAAATCGGAGTGAAAAATAGAAAAAGTTATAAAATAGTAAAATAGTTTTTTCATTATAATTCTGAATTGTTTACATTTTAATACTTTTTTATTTATTTACTACTTCTGATACTTATATATAAGAGTTAATTTGACTTTCAATTTGGTTCTAACTATAATATCCTAATTCTCTTTGTCTCTAATATTTATATATATTTTTATAATATAATCCTTATATTAGTTGCCATGTTAAATATTCAATCAAATCGTATTCTCGAGCACCATGAAGCAGATGGAATTGGATGGCTGCACGCCATTTCTTCCCCAGGAAATCATTAGAGATATACTCGTACGGCTCCCGGGAAAGTCTTTACTCAGATTTCAAAGTGTGTGCAGGGATTGGAAAATTCTCTTCAGATCCCCTTCTTTCATCGCAGACCACTTGCATCACTCTACCCATCGAAACCCTTTTCTTCTTTTAAAATGTTTGATCGCATGTTATCTCTGTTACTATTGTTTGCTCAATGGCGAGATGGAAGTCCACGAACTTCATAAGATCCCACTCAAGAATTCCAAGCTGACTGTCAGGAACCTCTATTACCATCATGGGTTGCTCTGTCTTGAAGTCATTAATAAGTCTCATTCCCTTCTATTGTATAATCCGGCGACTAAAGAAGTCAAACAAGTGCTCCGACGCCTTAAATTGTTCAAGGATACGGATTACGAGGTAGGATTTGGGTTCGATCCAATTCTTAATGATTACAGGATAGTGAGACTTTTTGTTTCTTTGGATGATGAAATGGTTGAGAAGGTGGAGGTGTATTCATTAAGTATGGGGTCATGGAAGGAGGTAGAGGTTGGGAACCTGGGGGTTGTACGACGTTGATATGCTGAAAATTTTACTGCTAATGGAGCTATCTTTTGATTTGGATACACAGTAGAGTATAAAGTAGATAAGGGAAGAAGTGTGAAATTGTTGCTAGTGACTGGATAGTTTCATTTGACATGGCAATGGAAGTATCTACTTTGATTCCAATGCCTACTCAAATAAGCTATGAAGACGGTGTTAGTTTTGCTATGTATGAGCACAAGCTTGCTATACTTTATCCCACTGCTATGGAAACTCTGAAACTTCGTCAATTGATCTGTGGGTGATGGAGGAGGGTACAGGTGCATCAGGGGAGAAATGGACTTGGACTAAGAAATATACTACCAGTCCTTTTCAATGCCCATATCCATGGATTTTATGTCCGCAAACTATTTGCAGGAATAACATCATCTGCAAAGTTCAAGTGATGCCTGGAGCTGAAGGTATGAAGAATAATGAAACAAAAATTGTCATGTTCGATCTCACTAGTAATGAATTCAAGAGCTATACTATTGGCGTATGCGGCAAATGTCAGCTTATACTCAATTATGCAGAAAGCCTTGTACCACTTCGACAGCATCCACATTGAAGGGCTATGATACTTTTTGCATTGCAAAATTTACTGTCTACTCTTTTTTTTTTTGCCCCTCTTTTCAGGTGAGATGATCCATTGTAAATTTGCTCCTCCGGTCCTTAATATAGGATTCAATTATTGAGTTAGTTTTTGTCCTAAATGTAAGACCAATTTCTCATGTTTATCAATTTTCTCTAAATTATCCCTATGGATACTCCTTCAACCATAATCAAGTAGAAGAGGAAGAGGGAGTATTAAAAAAGATGATTATGTTATTTTAGGAAAAAAAATGTCACATTTCTTATAATTAACTAACTTACTTAACTTCTTTAATCTAATCAAATTAGTTAAATATGTCTTATATTAAGGATCGGAGGAGCACTTTGTTTCAAGACTTTTTTGAAAATAGACTTGGAACAATCTAGATCATTCTGTACTAAGGCTTGCTGTCCTCTTGGGATATTATGTACCAAACGTTTCTTGCTTTTTATTTCACTTGTGAGTTCTGGTTGTTCGTCTTTCTTCTAAAGATGGATATTTAATTTCGCTGTTTGTGTGTGGCTTATCTGGTGCTTTTTGTCCAGGTAATATGCATGCATAATTGAGTAGTTATTCTATCTTGCAAGTGGATGTACTCCTCGAATTATTGGTGTATCAGAACAGTATCTGGTTTTTGGAATCTGGGCATGAAGTTTTCAGTCATCCATGTAATGATTTTTATGTGCTCGAGACATTGTCACTTCCTGTGTTTGTTTTCTATGAGCATTATTTGTTTACTTACTGATTTTTCAATTTTATTTTCTGATCATCTACAATGATCTCAAACTAAAAAGTATATCAAAATTTTAAATTTTATGATATTGACGGTTACTCATTATCACGTGAACACTTGTCTAAAATGAAAACCCATCCTATCGTCTGTGTTGATTCTTGTGTTTCATTTTTGTATAGTTTCTTTTATCATTACATACTCTGTAAATTTAGAGTATGTTGATTATCTTATATTTTTCTGGACTTCTTTTTTTCTTGGAATTGAAAGTTTTAAAAAAAAAAAAGCCTTGAAAGAAGAAAAGAAGACAGAAACTTAGGATAGATGATCAAGACACAAGGTCTGTAGGTAAATCAGCACATGAAAGATCCTCTCGGTACACTTGCCAGGTATCCCAGAGCATTATTCTGATATGTTCAATGAGTTATTTTGCAGGATGGAAATTTGGACTGTCTCACAAAACCAAGTTGAGAGGTTCAATTGAATCATCGTATGACGTCCCCTTTCTTGTAGTTACTTCTTCTGCTCAGTTGGAGATCTGTATGAATATCTTATATTTCCTGGTAAAGCAAGATTTAATGAAACGTTGTGCTGCCAAAATTCCTCGACATCAGATTTACTTCGTTTTCCTTATTAGTTAACTTGACAAGGTCATGTATTCTTAACATAAATTTTTTTTCTCCTTATTCACAGTAATTATCATTATACTACATTCGGTTCTAATTATAAGAGCCAGTTGACTAATTTGAGGAGATTAAGGAAGTAATTGAGTTAGTTATTTGTCCTAAATGGGTGTTATTTTTCCTAAAATATTCTTGCTAATCAAGTGTACTGACTAGAACTATCATTGTTAGAAAGGCTATTTTAGAAAAAATGTATAAATATGAGAGATAAAATAGATTGGGTTCTTATATTTAGAATAAAATAAAAGTCAAACAGGGTCTTATATTAAGGACCGGAGGTAGTATATTGTATCGTTTGTGTTTTTGGGGACACAGG